GCAGTGAAGGAAGGCATCGCTCAGAGAGGTTTATTGCTGTGAAAGGAAGGAAGATCTCACGGCACTAACCTAGTTTACGTCGTGAGGAGTTAGAAAAAGAAGAGCCTAGCAGAAGGAAGGAAGTAATAAAGATGAGAGTGGAGACAGATTAGACAATCGAAAAACAGTAGAGGATCCGTGCAATCAGGGCAATAATAAAACCAGTCAGTTCTTTGAAAAGATCAGTGAAAGAATTAGCCTTGTTTTAATTTTCCCTTTTCTTGATTCACTATTGCTTGTTCGCTGTGAACTGCTGACTGTTTTCCAGAGTTCTGACGACTCTGGTTCTGACAGTTTCTGCTTATTTTCCAGTGTTTCTGGTGGGGTGGGGTGGCGGATTGGAGCAGTCTACATCTTACTGATGCCACTCTCATGTTGTCATTTTCGAGCCATACAAATAGATTTGCTAATTAAAAATTTATTTTAAAAATTAGTACCTTGAAGGACTATAAAACATTTAATTGACACTGATTAAAATAAGAAAAATCGTATTAGAGTTTTAATAAATTCCTCTCAAAACAGAAAATTAGACCTTTTAAAATTCATATAACCTAACATTCATAGGCGTTCATAAAACATTGGTGACCATTTCTTAAAACCTGAGAACAAAATATACTATAACTAGTAATATTTAATACAGTCTTACCTAGATTTTGTAATGCAGTGAGATAGATACAAAAAAGGTGTTAAGAGGAATAGAAAGGGAAGGAACCGGAATATGCTCTGTTCTTATAAATAAAATCTAAAAGGATCAACTAACACAATGTTATGTTTAATAATGTTAAAGTACATAGATAGGAAATATGTAACAACAGTGTTCTTAGCAGAAAAGAATGAAAGATTTTATTCAGAATGGCTACAAAATTGGAGTAATCCAGGGATGTCTGGTTGGTTAATGTAAAAGAAGACTCTTAAAAGATGGAGAAACAGTTCTAAATGGGAGAACTAAAAGCATATAAAAATGAGCCCTCCAAATTCACACTGTGTCTGTCGTTGTTACTGGTGCCATTGAGTCGGTTCCGACCCGTAGAAGGCCCTGTGTTCAGCAGAAGGAAGCACTGCGCGGCCCTGCACCGTCCGCACAATTGTTGGCGTATCTGAGCCCATCGTTTCAGTCGATGTCAGCCCACCTCATTGAGAGTCTGCCTCTGTTTTGCTGACCCTCTGCTTACCAAGTGTGATGTCCTTCTTCAGCGACTGGTCCCTCCTAATACCATGTCCAAAGTACGTAAGAGAAGGTCTCACCATCCTCACGTCTAAGGAACGTGCTGCCTGTACTTCCTCCAAGACAGATCTGTCTGTTCTTCTGCCAGACCACGGTACAGTCAGTGTTCTTCTCCAACATCACAGTTCTAAGGCATTGGCTCTTTAGTCTTCCTTATTCATTGTCCAGCTTTCACATGCATATGAGGTGGTTGGAAATACTATGGCTTGGGTTGGGCAAACATTAGTCCTCAAAGTGATGTTTTTACTTCGTAGCTTTAAAGCGTTCTCTTGTGACAGATGTGCCCATTGCAGTACTTGATGTCTTGACTGCTGCTTTCCTGGGCATTGATTGTGGATCCAAGTAAAACAAAATCTTTGACAACTTCAGTCTTTTCTCCATTATTAGGATGTTGCTTGTTGGTCCAGTTGTGATGGTTTTTGTTTTCTTTGTATTGAGATGTAATCTGTACCTAAGGCTGATGTCTTTATCATCATCAGTAAGTACTTTTAGTCTTGCTGAAAGTGACTGTATATGGTCAGTCAGAATTTTAGAAAGCTAGATGTGGGTATTCTGCTAGTCTTATCAGTATTACAGCATATTATGAAACAGTGGTACCAATGAGAAATAGCTAAGATACAGGCCAGCCATGTATGAGGATGTGAACATTTCAAAACAAGAAGAAGAGGAGGCTTTATCAATGGGGTTGGGATAATTGTATCATCATTTAGAAGAAAATTAATTTCAGTTCATATTGTATCCTGAATTATTAGAGTATAAAAACTAAGTCACAGAAAATGGCTAGAAAAAGTAGAACTTGAGAATTTTAAAGACTGATTTTTTTTTTTTTTTCCTGATTTTAAGTCATGGAGTTTATTACAGAGGAAGACATCAGTTAAAATATATTTATACTAATAACAATTAATAAAGAGATTGAGACCTGTAATGTATAAAATTTATTTAAATTTATAAAAGTCTCAAGCTAATAGGTAAATTACTGTTTTGTATAATCAGGATGCAAAGTGTAATTATAATGAGATACCATTTTCTACCTATTAAATGTTTTCAAATTGTAAAATTGATACATTGATGGTTGTATTGAAATTAGTACAGCTTTCTTGGAAAGGAGTCTGGCAGTTCATGTCAAAAGCTCTGATAAAAATTTGTCATATACTTTGACTAGGCATTTTCACTATCCTGAGGAGCGCTGGTGGTACATTGGTTAAGGCATTTGACTGCTAACCAAAAGGTTGGTGGTTTGCACCCACTGGCTGCTCCATGGAAGAAAGATGAGGCAGTTTGCTTCTGTAAAGATTGACAGCCTTGAAACTCAGTAGGGGTTGTTATGAGTCAAAATCGACTCAGTGGTAGTGAGAAGGGAATAAGTGAAAAGAAGAAAACTCTTGGTGTGAAACTGCTAAATCCAGCAGAGAGTCACATTCCAGCTTCAGGATCAGCCACAGATATAAATGGCACATTTAACCCTTTTCTCTCAGGGAGTCCTTGGGTGGTACCAACTGTGAATGCTCTCAGCTGCTGGCCTGATGATCTGCTTGAGAACTAGACATTGAAAACCCTGTGGCACACAGTCCCAATCTGACACTCGTGAGGCTGCCATGAGTCAGAACCGAGTCCGTGACAGTTGGTTTTGTTTTTTCTCTCAGTGAGTTTCTCGGTGTTTAGGAGCACCTTGTCAGCCCACGTTGACAGCATACTTTTTTTGCTTGCTAGTCTTTATAATCTGGTTTTTAACATACACTCTAATCCACCATCCACTTCTTGGAAAGAAGGTTGGGCAATCTACTTTTGTAGAGATGCCACCTCGGATACCCAAGGAGGGGTTGTTGTGGGTAGGAAATGACTCGACGGCAGTCGAGTCGGCAGTTTTTGTTTTTGATGATGTTTAAAAAAAAAAAAAATGTACAGCTCATGAGTATACAAGCTTAACTTTTCACAGAGTGCACACACATCTAACTGCCACCCAGAATTGGCTGTTACCTTCTTATGCCCCGCTATCAGTCGCTACTCCCTTTCATCCCAAAGAGAACCACTATTCTGACTTCTAATAGTTTTTTTTTCCTTAACTTTTTATTGTGATTTGGGTGAAAGTTAACAGCAAATTGGTTCCCATTCAACATTTCATACACTTTTTCTAACATTCATTGCAGTCCCCACAATGGAACACGTACTCTTTCCACGTACTCTTTGTGTTTACCATTTCCATTTGTCCTTCTTTCCTATCCCTTCCTGCCTTTGAACTTTATTCTTGGACAAATACTGCCCTTTTGCTCTCACATAGTTGATTGTTCTAAGGAATTTTTATCTTCCTGGTGTTCTTGTTCACCTTATAGACCTTTCTATTTGGCTGAAAGTTGAACCACAGAGGTGAGTTCATTTCCAGGGTTGAAGGGTATCTAAGGACTATAGTTTCCAGGATTCCACCGGGCTCTATCAGACCAGTAAGCCTGATTATTTATTTATTTATTGTTATGATTTCGAGTTTTGTTCCACATTTTTCTCCCTCTCTATCTAGAATCTCCTGTTGTGAGCTCTATCAGAGTGGTCAGCAGTGATACTCGAGTACCATCTCGTTCTTCTGGTCTCAGGGTTGTGGAGGCTGAGGTTTGCATGGTTTGTTAGTCCTTTGGACTAATTATTTCCTTTAGTCTTTGATTTTCTTCTTCTTTGCTCTGGATGGAGAGAGACCAGTACTTTTGTGTGTATCAGTTGTAATTTCTTAATGGCCAAATGATAATCTGTTATCCAAATATCTTGTTTTTGTTATTTGAATTACTGTTTTATTACTACATACAATAATGTAGTTTCTTCTAATGCTATAATATGGTGATATTTCCTAATATAGAAAAATCTAGAAGCAATTCATCTTACCATTCACTTATTAGACTCCTAAAAGTTACTAGTGCTGCCATTTATATTTATGTCTTTCATCCTCTAGTCCTTAGTACGGTATGAACTTGTTGAAAGAATAATTGGTACCTACTCAGAAAACAAGGAGCTCTGGTGTAGTGCCTAAGGCATGTGACTGCTAACCAGAAGGCTGATGGTTCAAACCCACCAGCCACTCCTCAGAAGGAAGACTGGGCAATCTACTTCTATAGTGATACTGCCTCAGAAACCCAAGGAGGGGTCGCTGTGAGTTGAAATTGACTCGACGTCAGTGAGTTTGTTTTAGTTGTATTCAGAAAACATAAGCTCTCAAGTACTAACTGAAAGGCTGGTAGTTTGAATCCACCCAGAAGTGCTTTGGAAGAAAGTCTCGGCAGTCTGCTTCCGAAAGGTCACGGCCATTGAAAATGCTGTGGAAGGACTGTTCTACTCCGAACATATGGGGTCTCCATGAGTCAGCATCAGCCTGAAAGCAACCAGTTTGGTTGTATTCATGGTACTTATACAGATATTTATTTCTGTTTTGCCATCTTGATATCCATCCCTCCTGAGGTGTCTGCCTTGAGGGAAGACCAACATATGAAGTGTTTCAATGCAGTCCCCCATTTTGAAAAAGAAAGACTAAAAGTGGACTACATACTTGCATTGAGGGGAACGGAAGGATTTATTAGCCTTGTAGCCCACCCTTAACGAATAAAGAGGAGAAAGAATGCTGATGGTGGTGGTTATCCCCCAGTCCTCAGATTTCTGACACCCAAAATTACCGTTTCACCAGAAATATGACTGTTTTTTCTTGTTTGGTATTGTCCTATCCCTCAAAAGTTACTAAATTCTCTCTTTGTTCCAACAGTCAATGATAGTAATCATGAGAGTGACGGTCATCAGAAGGAACCTGCAGAGAATGAAGATCTTAAAGAAAAGTGGGATGAAATGGATTGTTCCTTGGTTGCGGAACAGTCTCCACGTTGCCACAAAGAAGAAAGACTAAATACATCTGTTCCACATGAGAGGAGAGTGAGGAATCTTTTAGTTACCATTGAAAATGACACTCCACTAGAAGAACTCTCAAAATATGTGGATATCAATGTTATTGCACTTACCCGAAATCGGAGAACAAGGAGATGGTACACTTGTCCACTGTGTGGTAAACAGTTTAATGAAAGTTCTTACCTTATTTCCCACCAGAGGACTCACACTGGAGAAAAACCCTATGACTGTAGTCACTGTGGGAAAAGCTTCAACCACAAAACAAATCTTAATAAACATGAACGAATCCATACGGGGGAAAAACCATATTCATGCTCTCAATGTGGGAAAAACTTCCGTCAGAATTCTCATCGGAGCCGCCATGAAGGAATCCACGTGAGGGAGAAGATATTTAAGTGTCCAGAATGTGGGAAAACCTTCTCAGGGAATGAAGAGTTTGTGCTTCATCTACAGAGTCATGAGGCAGAGAGGCCATATGGTTGCAAAAAATGTGGGAGAAGATTTGGTCGACTGTCAAACTGTACCCGGCATGAGAAAACCCACTCAGTGTGTAAGACTCGGAAGCAGAAATGGGATTGGGAAAGGTCTGATTGTCCTGCCTCAACCTAAGATGTTCCATTTAGGAATTTGAATTCCCAGACTGTCTGAAAAGATATAGATATGTGAAAACCTCATTATGGCCAAAATTGGATTAAAATACCCATCTTGGCTAAAACCTCAAATCATTAGAGAATTCACAGGGAAGAAGATATCCTTAAGGGCTATACCTCAGTTAGCATCCAGGCTTTTTGGACTAGGGAGCTTTATTTTGTGAAGTTGTACAACAGTGTACAGATCTGTTTCCCAGGAAGGACTTTGAATGTGAGTCAAGAGACTGATTAGCTGCAAGGTGAGCAGAATGACTCACCCTAGTGAAAGTGCAGCCATAGGGATCTCCACTTGAGAAAATTAATGGAAAGGCCCCTGTTGGGTACGTATCCCCCAAAAGAACCGAACTACTGATTGGTTAAGCCGACAGCAGTCCACATGACCCTCTGAGACAACCTGTTCAGGCTCACGTGCTGCGAGGGATGGTTCACTTTGGGTTATAGAAAAACCACAGCAACTGAATGTCGACAACTTTACTCCGTCATTTTTCATCCTGAACTGACAGATGGTGTCAATAACATTTGCAATTTGTGATGAAAATGGAATCCTTTGAACATAATTTTAAAGTGTCTGTTGTTCTTACTGTGTTTTGTTCAGCTCTTAGTCTCACACAGCTGTCTCTCAACTCTGAGCAATGCCTCCCCCACACAGTTAGACAGTTGATTGCTCAGGCCCAGCCACCCAGCCCCATTAATGGAAAAGCTCTTGAGAATATTGTCCCTCTGCTGAACCAGTATCTCACCTGCAAAGAAGGAAACCCCCAAGAGTGTGAAGGTAAAACAGACCTGGAGACAAGAAGTAGTTGACTTGGATCCATGGCTGGTCAATAACCTCAACATGCACTTATTCCCCCTCTACACAGTCACCAGGCCTTTGGCAGTGGGCTGGTCACTACCTCACAAGACAATGTGTTTTTGTTCTGGTTACCTAGTACCTCTCTGACAAGAATGTACCAGAAATGGGATAGCTTGAACAAACAGGAGTTTGTTCTCTTATAGCTTTGAGGCTTTAAGTCTCAGTTCAGAGTGCTGGGCTCTAGGGGCTGGGTGAAAAGCCCCTCAACCTTGGGCTTCAGGTCTGCCTCCTGCCCCCAGCCCACTGAAGCTGGAGGCTTTTCTTCAGACAGCTGCTGGCTGCTGAGGCTGACAAGCCCAAGGTTGACAGGTAAAAAAGGCACAGACCCAATGTTACCAAACAACATGGCAGGCCATTAATTCAAGTCCGTTGAAAGTCCCAAAGTCGGCAGAGCATGGCAGGCAGCTGAACCATGACATGGCTACATGTAGGGATCAAGTGTGCCATAAGCTAGAGACCATTTCCCAAGCCACCTTATATATAGGAAGCAAACCACATCCTTAGGGCAGCTACTCAGCTGCTCACAGTAGATTCTACCATGGAGTTGATCACCAGTCTCATCATGGGGAATACTACATCCAGCTGCCCAGCCACTCGACCAGGCCCAGCCAAGTTGACACACAAACAACCACCACAGTTTAATTTTTAGAAATTCCATCTCTAGTGAATAGCTCACATTGCCCCTCATGAGACAGGATTCCATGTGTCTTCAGTGTAGTGGATACAGGTTACTGCCTCTGGTGTCCTGATACCCAGGCCCACCTGAATTGTCTGCCCAGAAGTAAGGCCAGCAGTGTCTTTATGGGGCCAGCTCAGCCATGTGGTCTGAAGGCATTCATGATCAGTTTTGCTTGTTTGTTTCTGGTTGTCCCACATTTTACGTTGGGATTTGATTGGCATTGGGTTAATCCTGTAAACCATTTGGGAAAAAAATGTTAACTTTACACACTTGTTCCCCATACCTTTCCATTTATTAGAGCCATGTATTCCTCAGTACACATTTCTCCATTTCTTCGTGTAAGCCCTGTACAATTGTGTTATTGTAAATAGTTTTTATCCATTATATTTTTCTAGTTGGTCATTGCTCTTACATAACAAAATTATTTTTAATTATATATTTGTGTAACTGGCCACCTCACTGAGTATTTCTAATTTTCAATAGTTTCCTGGTTTAGTTCTCTGTTACAATTACTGTAAAATTATACCACCTTCAAATAATAGTTTTTTTGCCTTGCTTTCTGTTGGGTTTGTTGTTGTTGTTTTAATATATTGTTCTAAGCTTAGTTGTTGTTTTCATACAAAGTGTTTAAAAAAAAAAAAAGAAAAGAAAAGAAAAACTCATTGCCATCAAGTCGATTCCGACTCATAGTGCTACCTCCTTGGGTTTCTGAGGCGGTATCTCTATGGAAGTAGATTGCCCAGTCTTCCTTCCAAGGAGTGGCTGGTGGGTTTGAAACACTGGCCTTCTGGTTAGCAGTCAAGTGCCTTAGGCATTACACCACCAGAGCTCCCACAAAGTGTTTTAAAAGAAGAAAATAATCAGTACTGATTTCTAACTTAAACAAAAACCCTTAAAGGCCATAAAAAACCTGTTCTTTAATCTCTTTGTATTTTTCAAGCCAGTAATATTACCCTTTAAAACCAGAAACAGAACAGGCTGCCAGAAACATTATTCTCTTATTCTTACGGAAGTCTGGTTATGCACTAGGAACGAGTGAGCCGTCTGTGTTAGGAGGGGCCAACAAACTTCTCACCTGCACATAATCTGTGTGCACCAAGACCCTGGGGTGAGTTTGCTGTATCCCTTTGCCCAAAGGTTGGGTGTGTAACAGTGGCACCAGACTCCCCAAGATGCCTTTCAAAAGGAGAGTGTGGTAGTGGGTGATGCCACCGTGACGTAAGGCCCTTCCTCACACTGGAGAGTTGCTTGGTAGTTGGCTAGGTGCACCTCATCCACGGCCAGGTGGCCCGTAGGAGGACAAGGAGGCCTGAGGTTAACGTTGCTGGCCCTGACCCAGCACCTGCTGTCACCAAAGGTGAGGTGAGGCTGTGCCAGGCTGGTTTCCATGCCCCTGACCCACATCAGCTGCTTGGACCACAAGGAGGCTCCACTGAGCAGAGGAAGCAGGCAGGAGAGGTGGAGGAGCACGTGCTGCTTGCCTGCGAGAGCCTTGCCCAAGACCATCTGTAGGAATGCAGATCAGGTAAGATGACCTGGGATGAGGGGCCACCCCAATTGAGAACCCCTGGAAAGTATTTAGATGAGTAAATGCATACAATAAGGAGCCAAACAACCAGTTAAATGCAAAGCAAAGGTAGTTTCCAATACAGCAGCAAGAGCCAGGTAGAAAATATGAATAACCAAAACTCTGATTCTGGTAGCAACTACACATAGCAAGTATTCATTCAGTAAAGATACAACAAGCACTGGATTTGAAGGTAACATGATCTGATGGAGTTTACCTTGGGGCTGGGAAGAGGAAGAGGACAGAAATACAGTAAATACATGTATGAATGGAGCAACAAATGGTGACAAGTGCTTGGAAGGCAGAAGATTCTAGGGATTCTGAAGAGGGGGCCCGGGGAGGAGCATTTAAACTGAGGCCAGAAGGAAGAGATGGGGTGTGAGTGCGAATGTTCCAGGCAAGAGGAACAGCATATGCTGAGACCCTGGGGTGGGAACGAGTGGGGTGTGAGAATACCTAGGAGTCAGTAGACTACAAGAATTTTGTGAAGGAAACCCCATGAGACCTGACATAAAAGTGGCACCATGAAATGTTCGTGGACCAGCAGACCAACTGTTAGTAAGATTTCAGTTCTTCTCAACTTAATTGATAGATTTAGTGCTACTCAACACAAGCACAATGGAATTTTAGGGAGAAACTTGGTGGATTCTAAATAGTACTTAGGGGGATCAACATGTTAAAAAGAGGTTCTCACTCTTGCTGCCATTGAGTCGATTCTGACTCATAGCAACCCCTTGGATTTCCGAGGCGGTGTCATTACAGGAATAGATTGCCCAATCTTCCTTCCAAAAAAGAGGTTAGGAAAATCAAAATAAGGGAAAGCTTACCTTAACAATAGAATCTTAAAATGTCTACATCATATTTTTTAAAAGATCTTTAGAAGCTACAGTAATTCAGGGAGCTTGGTACTGGTGCAAGAGCTGGAGAATATTTTAATAAGAGTAGTCCAGAAATGGATCCCAGTATTTGTTAAAACTTAGTATACGATTGTGGTGGCATCACAAATAATAACCAAACCAAACTCACTGCTGTCAAGTCGGATCCGACTCATAGTGACCCCTCCTTGGGTTTCTGAGGAAGTAACACTACAGAAGTAGGTTGTCCAATCTTCCTTTGGAGGAGTGGCTGGTGGGTTTGAACCGCCAGCCTTCTGGTTAGCAGTTGAATGCCTTAGGCATTACACCACCAGAGCTCCTAAGGGAAAGGAAAAATTGTTCAATAGGTGTTGCTGAAATTAAACATAAGGGTGAGGGATTTAGGTGATCACCCATCTCACACTAAAATTAAGTCTAGGAAGATTAAAGGAACGTACAAACCAAAACTCAAGCCACCAACAAACACCACCCTAGAATAATGAAAGATACAAGAGCCATTGAGCTAGCCTCTGCGTGGGATAATGCTTTCTAATAATGAGAAAATCATAAAGGAAACCGAAGGATCTGGTTACATAAAAGGAGCTCTGGTGGTGCAGTGCTTAAGCATTTAACTGCTAACCAGAGAGCTGGTGGTTCAAACCCACCAGGTGACATAAAAATGTTAAATTATCAAGAAATAGCACAAATTATAACAATTTAAAACAATTCAACATGAAATTCTTTCTGAAAAATGAAAAGACAAGTGATAATTGGGACACTTTTGCACAAATTGGCAATGACAATATTTTGGAATATGAGGGATTTTATAAACCAATAAAATATTAACTACCCAATACCAAGAAGACCAACAGTTTTTAGAAAAAGAAGTGAGTGGCTAAAAGAAATGTAAATATTCAGCCTTACTACTATTTTAAGAATTATAAATCAAAAGGACAAGGGGAGGTCATTTTAGGGATATTACATGAGCAGAGCTTATTTTGTTTTG